AAAGGAATACTGTCCTCATCCCTTACCCTCTAACTGCTGCCCTCACTGTGTGCATTCACCATGGAGCATACGGAAGCCTGGCTTGCTCTTTTAAATGCTACAGAAAGCCCCAAATCAGCCTGTGCTTTAGTTCAAGTCTGACGCTAACCCAGTAAGGGGGATGTTTCTTGAACCCTTTGATGCTCATGGCTCCTGACTATATCAACTTAGTCATGTTACCTGGCCCGGTGTCAGGGAGTCTATGAGAAAGTAAAGGCTTCTAACAGACCACACTGCAAACATTTATAGATGGGATGAAAAATGTCACAAACCCACAGGGAAACTTATTAGATGACACTGTCTAAGTTCTGAAAATTCTAATTAAGGAGGTGATTTGAGGGCACTGCTTTCAGGCTGTTCATAGGTATCACATGCTTTTCTTTTGATAGTAATTCTTCTCTAGTTTGATTCAAAATTAAAATTGAGGTTGAACATTATAAAGTTGCAACATTTGAAACAATCTTAAAATTAATAATGGCTTTATATTCCATGCCCACTTGAAACAGAATTAGACCATTATAAATCGGTTGCTGGTATAGTTATTTTAATACTCTGGAATGGAAAAGGAAGGATTTAAATGTTCAGTAACAAAAGGAGACATGGGTAACGGTCCTGTTTATTCAGGGACAATGGGATGGAAGGCTTGAGAACCATGTTGGCATTTTCTGTATATATGGGCCTACCTGCAATATTTATCTTTACTTAGTTTCCAAGACATGAATGAACAGTACTAGCCTTGTTGCAAGGTCAAATTAAAATATATGCAGCAAGCACTTAGAATGGTATGAGATACCTGATAAATGCTATATTTGCTTGATTGCTGTGATTTTTCTTTGAAATTATCTTAGATTCTATGTTTTGCAATACAATTGAAAATAATGGCTGTCAGATTTGGATGCTTCTGAATTCTCTGAAGGGTCTGTGAATACAAATTCCTGGGCTCTGGCCCCAGAGTTTCTGATTCAGTAGGTATAGGGTGGGGCCTGGGAATATGCCCTTCTAAAATCTCAGCTAGTGCTGATGATGTTCGTCCTGGGACCATGCCTTGAGAAACGATGGTCTAAAGAATAGTGGCTTAACGAACCTGACTGGGACAAGTGGAGATTTAAAATATCTGTTCTTGGCAGTCAATAACACATACATATATACACACTTAGTGGAAACAATCTTTTTACCTAGGTTAAAAGTAAAGGAACTCTACTTTTAAAAGTAAAAAAGAAACCATGGAATGTGGGGGGAAACTAGATAAATTTAGAGTCAGATGTGGATCCAATCCAAACAACATATTCTGTAGAAAAGGCAGTGAAGCCTACAGAGGAACTGACCAGCTCAAAGATATTTGCCTGTGTAGCTATCAGAGCACAGTCAGGCCTGAGTGTTCTGGCTCCTATCCAAGTGCTCCTTCTCCTTAAAGCACTGGCTTACTGGTAGGCTGTTTGAAGGAAATAATGGAAGGCCCAGGCAGAAGTGTCATCCATGTGGGCACCGAGCAGTGCTGCTTGTCCCAGAACTCCAGGCTCACCTGGAAGTAGGGGGGCTTCCATTCTGTCTCATCGTGCAGATTCTACGTAGAGACTCCAACCCTACACAGAGATCAGCTCCCGTAGATAGAATGGCAGTTAGTAGGCGCTCTGCCGTCACAGAGCTCTCCACTCAGTGTGTGGCGAGAGCTTCTGCTGTGGAAATGTCTTTTCCAAGCACCCCAGCCATTATCAGCACCTTCCTCCTCAGGGCAGGGCAGCTATGACTCTTGACGAGCATCCCTCAGGCCTGGCCCTTTAATATTCCCTTATAGAAGGTTGAGGTGAGGAGGCCATTCGACTGAGATTCCAGTCACTTCTTCCTACACCCCGTATGCAATCCTTCCCATGTGGCATGTGACCTCATGGTCTCCAGAAGTGAGGTCTATACAGGGCAGAAGGTTAGCTAAAGCAGAGGGCTCTGTGTGTGCAGCTTGAAAGAAGCTCTTCATGCTGGGATGAGACTTGGGTGGTTCGGGTGTTTGGGGGTCACCTACACTCTTGGAAGTCATCCCAGTAAAACTTGTTTTTCACAAGCTACATCTTGGTAGAATCATTGCTTTGGTGTCTGTCTTAGTTAGGGTTTTATTGCTGTGAAGAGACACCATGGCCATGACATGACAACTCTTATAAAGGAAAACATTTAATTGGGGTGGCTTACAGTTCAGACGTTTAGTCCACTATCGTCATGGCAGGAAGGAAGGCAGCATGCAGGCTGACATGGTACCAGAGCTGAAAGTCTACATTTGGATCCAAAGGCAACAGGAAGTGAACTGTCTCACTGGGGATGGCTTGAGCATATATAAGACCTCCAAGCCCGCCTCCACAGTGACACAATTCCTCCAACAAGGCTACACCTCCTAAAAGTGCCCCTCCCTTTGGGAGCCATTTTCTTTCAAAACACCACAATACCTTATCTGGGAGAAGAACATGTTGTGTTCATATCTGCATATAAACAATTCATTGCAACACCCTCCTACACAAGCAGGGTGCCTGTTAATGTAGAGATGACTATGGTGCCCCTTTCCATTACAGTTTTACAATCCAATGTCAAAAGTTGACTTTCACTGTTGTATATCTTAGGTTAGCCAAACAACTTTACAACCTTATCTGGATTTCACTGCAAAGAAGAAAGGTTTTTTAATATACTGTTCTATACGATTCCAGACCCTAAGAGAAGTGGTGGAAGCAATCTACGGGGAAGTGTGAAACTGAGCCCCAGAGTGCTCTCTCTGCTGTGTTCCAGGTTTGGAGACACAGGAAACTGCCCGCTCCTGTAGTCTGGTCCCTGTGGGGAAGAACTGGCTGATCCCAGAATTGGGGAAGTCTTCACTACTGTTCTGGTTGTTTAGTGTCCATGAAAAGGGGGCTCTGTGTAAAGAAAGACTAACTGTACCCAAAGAGAGGTCTGGCCTTCACCCTTGGCTACTGAGAGAGGATCTCTAAGCCCCTGGAATGTCCTGCCTGACAGAAGCGTCTGGATGCTGTAGCCACAAGACAGTCTAATAACAAATACAGAGTTCACAGTGGGGTTCTTGAGGCACCCTGTGTCAGCTGTGATGTCTGGAGGAATCGGAATCTGCACAAAGTGTGAGATTGAGCTGCATTCCAAGTCTGGGTAGAAAAAGAGCAGGTAAATGTCTCCGGTTGGCCACTTATTGTGCCCAGAAGGAGGTGATGATGCCACTGACTCTTGTGGGATGGCCCCTGGAGCGTGCCCTGTGTACCACTCTCCTTGGCTAATTTTAATCCGTCTTTTCGCTATGACAGATACCAATCGCAAGCGTAGCACGTCTCTCAGTTCCACGAGTCTTGCTCACAAACAATAAATGTGAGAGTGTCGCGGTATCCACAGGGTCATAGCCAGCTTGTCTGATATGAGGCTTGCCCTGGAGATTCTTAACCTTGAAGTTGGTGTCAGAGTGAGGGCACTAGTCGAAGTCTGTCTCCTCTGGTGTTCCAGTTCAGCTAAACTCATCACAGGGTAAACTGTTGAGAATAATACAATGGTGTGGGAGAATGGTTTGTATTCTGTCAACTATATTTTAAACAAACGCTAACTGGCCAGTAGCCAGGCAGGAAGTATATGCGGGACAAGCAGACAGGAAGTAGAGGCAGGTCAATGAGAACAGGAGAATTCTGGGAAGGAGGATGCCCATTCCTCTGCAGTCCTGACCCGATCAGAGAAGAAGCAAGATGTGACTGCCTCACTGAATAAGGTACTGAGCCATGTGGCTAGCATAGACAAGAATAATAGGCTAATATAAATTATAAGAGTTAAAAGAAGCCTGAGCAAATGGGCCAATCAGTTTATAACTAATGTAGACTTCTGTGTGATTCTTTGGGACCTAACAACTATGGAAACTGGGCAGGACAGAAACCTCAGTCAATAATATAAGGTAAGATTTTACGTCCAATTCCTGACAGGAAGTCTAGGAATCTGGTGAGTTTAGGGCTCTGTTTCTTCTAGAAGTGACTGACCTTCCAGAAATTATTTTCAGCCTTGGTCCAAAGGAGCTAACTATGAGTTAGAAGTTATGGTTTGTGAAGACACATCTTAAAGTGACCATATCTAAACTTGGAAAAAAAACCAACAAAATACCTTAGCTATTTCAGAAAAATCTGTTTAACTATCACAAGCTGAATTATACTGAAGACGTCAAGACTTTAATAGCTTTCTCCCTAGATTATAAAGATATTTCGCCAAGTTTTCATTTGTGCCACAATTCTATGTTGATTTGTAGTTCAAGTTATCCTCAATATATGTTTAGTGTGTATTCCCAGACAAACAGTGAATATTTCAGGTCCCATATTTTTCTTTCTCTTCGAATTCCTTACCTCCTCTTAATGAATCTGTCTCTACTCTGTCATACCAAGCCATGGACTTTCAACATTTTGTTATATATTTTTAAATGGTGCCCTGACTGCAATGCAGACTTATAAACCCAGCTACTGAGGAGGGTCACAAGTTTGAGGTGTGCCTGAACTGCCAGTGCGTTTAAACACAGCCTGATTTAATGACCACCCGGTCTCAAAGTAAAAGGAGGGCTGGCATGAAGCCTAGTGGTAGAGCACTTCCTTAGCACTCATCCCCAGAAAGCGCTAAAGGGTAGCTGTTTCCTTCCGTGAGGCAGAGTGTGAATGGTGCTTGGGGAACACAGGTTTCGGGACTCACAGGGAGGTCTGAGCGGCCGACAGTTTGGCCGGTTTCCCACCTGGATTAGGATGGATCCGATGGGGTCGTGGCCCTCCTCAGCCTGCGCCATGGCTGGGCCGGGTTGAGGACACCGGTCCCCGGAGGTGCGGCCTCCAGAGCCTTCTACGAGGCGGGAGGACGCCCGTCCCCATGGCAACGCAGCGCGGGCCTGCGCGCTCCACTGGAGAAGCGGAAGGGGGATGTGCTGGCTCGACGGCGCTCAAGGCACGGCCCCGCCCAGAGCGCGTTTCCCGGATCGTCTCCCCCGCGCGCTGGCCGCAGTGGTGCGGTCCAAGGCGGAAGCAGCGCCGGCGCGGAACACGGTCTGCGGCAGCAATGGCTGCGGGTGTCCCCTGCGCTCTGGTCACCAGCTGCTCCGCCACCTTCACCGGGGACCGGCTGGTGCAACGTGAGTAACTGGGCGTCGGGGCCGGGCTGCAAGGCCGAGCTCGGAGCGACGGGCACAGGGCTTTGCGCCGGGCCCGGGCTCCCGCTCCTCCGCAGGTGTCTGCGCCTGGCGCTTAACCCTTTTCTTGGTTAAAGTAAGGCCAGTCTCTGACCTTGGCGAGCGACCTCTAACATGATACTCAAGGCCCTGAAAATTGTGCCCTTAAGCGAATGTAAGGCGCTGGAGTTTTGGTGTTGTGGTTTGGGGGGGGGGGGGCGGTGATGCCCCTGTAACTGAAGTGCTGTGGGGGTGGGGTGGTCATGCTAAATGTCCTTCCAGGAATCGCCTAACCAGAACTCCTGTGCTTGCAGAAAACTAGAATTTTACTAACTGTAGCTCTTGGACTGGCTTTAGGCCGCTTAATGGTCATTTGTAGCCTGCCTCAGCGTCTGATCTAATATCCTTGTGATTATCAGTACTTTTGGAAATAAGCAAACAGACCCATAGCTTCCACCAATCCAAAGGCTAAGAATGTTATCAGAGAGTATCTGAGGCCTGCAGCAGAGGCTTCCCTGTTTACAGTAACCTCCTGATGTTCCCACCGATGTATTTTTAAAAGACCCGGATAGGCAACTTTTTGTTGTTGTTACTATAAAAACATCGAGAGATTGTTACCATGTTAGAACGTGGTTTTTGAGGCAACCCCAGTTCTTGTTCCCTGTCCCTGATCACTCATGTTTGGCTCCAGAATAAACTCTTATTCCCTCTGAGGTGAGCGCTGTGGGCATTCTTGACTCAAATAGATATAGGTAAATAGATATTCTTGACTCAGAGATGGATGGATGGAGAGAGAGATGACTGCCTATGGGGTGAGGACAGGTCTTAGAGGATTGTTTCAGCAGAGGCTAGCACGTGCAAACACTGGCTGGCATCACTATAAAAGCAGATCATCTGTTTAGCCCAGGGTTTGCTCGTCTGTGAAGGGGGCGTATGGACAGGTGTTTCAAGAGCTAGCTGATGTTGGCTTGCAAATGTGTTCTAACCTGTAAAGCATTAGCCGTTTGTAATTATTTCTTACACCTGTTGACGAAAGTAGGCGAGCTGCCCTTCCAGCACAGGTATTCTGTCTTTTGCTTATTGTGAACACGTGGAAAGTCCCTTACTAGGGCGAAAGCCTAGTCAACAGCACCTAGTAAATGGTAACCAAACTCCCTGCCTTTCCCTCACTTCCTTCAAGCAAGACTCCTCTTTCCCTCCCGCCAGGTCGCCCATCCTTTCCCCTTATATTGTTTCTTCTTAAAACAAGTTCATACTCTAAGTTAAGTTAGCATACGGAGGAAAGAATGTTAGCCAACATTTTGGTGGTGGTCTTTGCAGTCTCCCTTGGGCCCTGAATTCTTTCTGCATTTTGTAATTACTGTGAATATATACTTCTACTTCCTATATAGGTTTTAGCCTGGGGTGTGTGTGCGTGGTGTTGGGGGGGGCCTTGCACATGGTAAGCAACTGCCTTCCTACTGAGTCATAGTCTCATCCCCTGCCCCGTGGTGGTGCACTCCTTTAATCCCAGCACTCAGGAGGCAGAGGCAGGCGGATCTCTGTGATTTTGGGGCCAGCCTGGTCTGGTTCCAGGGCAAGGCTTCAAAGCTACAGAGAAACCCGGTCTTGAAAAAACAAAAGCAAAACAAAAAAATTACTTTCTGTTGTACATCATAGAGTGAATATACCAGAGTTTTCTCAAGGTGTCTACGAGTGTATATGATTTTCTACAAGATTTATATGCATTTGGATTCCCGATAGTGATGGATGTGTGTTCTTTTAAGGCCAAGCTCAGGCTTATTATGTATTCCAATAGCTTTGCTACTCTGTCTCCCTCTCACCCCACAACAAGGTCTTGCTCTGTCTCCGAGGCTGACCCTGAACCTGCAACCCTAGTTTTGGGTTCACAGGCGGGCAGCACCATGCCTGGTCCTGTCCTGCCCATCAAAGATCAGAATTGGCAAACATGGCCAGTGCCTCGAAGGAGCTGATCACCAGGAGCTGGCAAATGGTGACATTCTGCCACTGTTCTTCTATAGAGAGACTTTAAGCATTGTTGGGGGTAAAATACTGTGAGATAGCTCAGTTTGCTCTGAATGCAGAGCGTCTTAGGTAGCTCCAATTCTTGTTAAAATTAAGTGCCACTCATTAGTGTCCTGCTAGTTAAGAAGGCAAGAGCAGAACGGCCAACAGATTATTTGAATAAGGGAAGCAGAAGGGGGCTGCTGGTCGGGTTCCTCCAAGACATTGCTTTTTGCAGTCTCCTAGCCGCTTCTTGGAAGAAGCAAGAGGCCACAGATAGCAGTGGGATGAAGTATTTGCATAGCATTTGCTGTTTTACCGTCATTAAAGGCTGAGTTACGTTAGTCAGGGGATGAACTTGATTTAGGAATAGAAGATGGAGGTTACACGATGAATCAATGACTTTGATCTAGTCAGGATGGATGAATGTCTTGGTCTGGCTAGGACACAAGTTTTGGGTTGAATCTGGTGTGCTTTGAGGAGGTTTCCTTGGTTTGGAAGAGGAATCCTGCCTCTTGTTGTCAATCTCTGTATCTGATCTGACCAACAATAGAAATTATTTTGTAATCAAATACCAAGTTTGTTAGAAATTCCCTTTAAGAATTAGTAGGCCTTGACTGTAGATGAAGTACCTGAATAAACTTTGCAAAGTTTTATTTGCAGTACCCTAGCTAGATACATACTTAACTAAAGGAGGCCTTTTGTTTTACACTGTAGACTTTTAATAATTTTTAATTTTATTTATTTGTTTGTGGGTGGTATACATATGAGGGTCAGAAGACAACTTGTGGGAGTTAGCTCTCTCTTTCCTTCGTGTGACTGCCTGAGAAGGGGCTCATGTCATTGGGCCTGTCTGCGGCTCCTTCACCTGCTCCCTGATTTGGAGCTCCGGTCGTCAGGCCTGTCTGCAGACGCCTTTTCCTGCCCAGCTACCTCGCCAGTCCCACAGCGTAGACCATTAGAGCTTATGCAAGGTGTGGCCCTGAGAGCAAGTGTCCGTGCTTCAGGCCAGAGTTCCTTCTGCCTGGAATGTGTTTTGTGAAGCTGATACTCTTATCTGGGAAAGGTGTGGTCTGGTAAATGTGTATCAAACTTGGAGCCAGTGTCTGTTCTGCTTACTGCCTCAAAAGTCATGAATTAAGCTACTGTTCCTACCCTCACGAGGAATGTGGTCAAAATGTGTACTTTACCTGTGAAAACGGTAAAATGTAAGGAGCTAACATCTTATTCCTACAGAAAGAACATAGAAGAATCCCTGGAGAGTGGTTTGGTTTTAAAATGTGTGATGCCAACCCAGCAACTATAGGTCACTTCATGTCTACATCTGGACAAGTTTCCAGAACATCTGGAGATAAATTCTTTGAACTAGTGCCATGCAGAAATCTAGAGATCTTTGAATAGTTTTTAATGTGTATGTAGAACTCTTCCTAGTGTGTTTGTAATAGGTGTGTGTGTGTGTGTGTGTGCGTGCACATGCACACATGTATGCAGTGCCGAGGAAGCCAGAATAGGGTGTTTGTTGGATGTCGGAGCCTTCGAAGCTGCAGTCACAGGCAGTTGGGAGCTACCATGTGGGGCCTGGGAATTGAGTTCAAGTCCTCTGGAAGAAAGTATTGAACCATCTCTCCAGGCACCCTCAGCTGTGTTTTCAAAAACTATAATTTACTTTAGTTATTGTAATTGCAATAGGATTGGTAATATCCATTTTATGATAAGCTAATGCAGAAATACAAGGTTTGGTTTGCCCAAAGTGCTCAGGCAGTAACTGCTGCCCTGTGTGTTCTTGGTCAAGTCTTAGCCAGAGGAAGGGAGAGTCGAAATGTTTGTTATTCCACAGAAATCAGTTACTTACGGTGGCGAGAGGACTGATACTTACAAACTCGTTTAAATATGCTTTTGTTTCTGTCTGGGATGGTTGAAGACGTAATTATGAATGGAAAGGGGGAAAATCTGCCCAGAGAATGCATATTGCATTAAAACAGAGTTTTTAACAAAGGAAGTGTATGTGATGTGTTAAATATACAGTGAAAGACCATCTATATCTAAGTCTTTAGCAATGTCTGGGTTTTTGTTTTCTCAATTCATTACATTTAAAGAGACGTATCTGTTAGCCACTCTTCCTGCGGAGGATTAATATCAGCAAATTCCTCTGACGGCCCAACTAGATGGAGGCTTCTGTGTTACAGTGTTTGGTCGTTCAGTGCTTCTTAACTTGATTCTGGGTTTTCTTTTTTCGAGACATGGCTGGCCTGGAACTCACTATCTAGACGAGGCTATCCTAAAACTATGCCTGCCTCTGCCCGCTGCGTGCTGGCATCAAGGAGGTGCACAACCACACCCTGCAACTCTGCCATTCTTAACCCAAGAGTACTTTCACTTTTTATTTATTTTTAAGAATCAAGCCTTATTTTGAGCTTTCTTGTCAGACTGTCTTTGGATCATCCAAACAGCGATATGGAGATTTATTATTAATTACGAAAGCTCGGCCTTTAGCTTAGGCTTGTCTCTAATTAGCCCTTATAACTTACTAACCAATTTTTAAAACCTACATTCTGCCATTTGACTTGGTTACCTCTCCTTAGTATGGCATGTCTGACTTGCTGGCAAAAGCCCTGTGCCTAGAATCCTTTTCTTCTTGTTCTCTCCCCCTGGAAATCCTGCCTATCCTCTCCTGCCTACCTATTGGCCATTCAGTTCTTTTATTAAAAACCAGTGAAAAGGCTCCTTGGCAAAGGCATATCTTCAGTGTGCAAAAAGATGATCTGACAAGACACCTAACCATTGACGAGAAAATGTGATCCTCCCCCACGTAGTGCAAGAGGTTGAACTTAAGGCTGTGTGCATCTTACAGGAGCCCTCTGCTGCTGAGCTACTCACCGGGGAAAATTAACTTTCTGTGATTAGAATTTAGAAGCCTAGTCCTCGGGTTTCTAAAACAGTGGGACTATGAAAGTTCAGTT